CCCGCGCAACTGTCCAACTGGGAGCGCCCCGCGCCGTCAAAATCGTCACGCGTTCTAGAGGGCGCTGCTCGGCCGGCCGTCACCCGGGAGATCTCATTTACTCGGCGGGGGGGGGGGGGGGGCAGGGCAGTCACGTGCTGCGCCGGCAGCCAATCGTCGCGCGCCACCGTCGCCCGCCTGAGTGTTCTAGAGGGCGCTGCTCGTGAGCTAAGTTGAATAATTTGAATATATAGTTTTAATAAATGATTTATATATATTTTAAAATAGCCTATCGTCATCCTCGTTATTTTTTACCTATGTATGGAAATTTTGGTTTGAATTAGTGAACTACTGCGAATTTGTATACCGGACATACAAACCAACCAACCAACAGACAAACATACAAACATTCATTTTTATATATATAGATATTATTTTTTACTTATTACTTGCAAAATATTCGTTCTTAAAAAAAAAAAATAATAAATAAGACTAGCTTTTAAAAAATATTGAATAAACAAATAAGAAAAATGAATATGAAAATATTTTTTTTTTTAGCAATGAAATTTACTACGTTGTGTTTATTTTTAATAATATCATCAAATATTATCTCTACAGAACTTACTGCAATTATAAAAGTTATTGAATGAAAGGGATTGGCTTATCAGTGGTGAACCCTCTCTCAGCGGTTTCGAGATAATATTTGATTATATTTTTAAAAAGAAACACATTGCCATTAAATTTAATTATATAATATAACTAGACGATTGACCCGGGCAACGCCCGGGTTTACACGATTAAATGTATTTTACATATGGAAGATGGACGTAGTTCCCGGAGGTCACCCGCGAGGCTTTTTTGGCACCTGGCACAGCTGTGTCACCAACGCCAGGACCGCGCGCGGTGGGAACTCGAAATGGCCAACCGGCCGGCAGCCGGGAGGTCACGTGCTCGCTGGCAGCCAATGGGCGCCCCCCGCCGTCAAAACGTCACGTGTTCTAGAGGGCGCTGCTCGTGAGCTAAGTTGAATAATTTGAATATATAGTTTTAATAATTGATTTATATATTTTTTAAAATAGCCTATCGTCTTCCCCGTATTCTTTTACCTATGTATGGAAATTTTGGTACCAATTGGTTCAGTAGTTTTTGAGTTTATCGCGAAACAGACAGACAGACAGAAATTGACTTTTATATATATAGAGATATAATGCGGCTTATGATTGTAGAGAACGACATTTAAAATTTATCCCGTATGTGTTTCTTTTGAACGAAAAATCTAAATTTATTTTAAGGAGAAATAACAATTATTTCTAACCTTAGGGATGAGGTATGAAAGGATGAATTGTGAAGAGTAATGATAAATATTTACGAACAGAAAAATAAAGTGTCCAGGGTAGCCTAGTGGACATGGCATCTGCCCGGTAAGCGGAACACTGTGGGTTCGATTCCCATCCCTGGACACTTTTATTTTTCCGTTTATCATTACTCTTCACAATTCATCCTTTCATACTTTATCCCTAAGGTTAGAAATAATTGTTATTTCTCCCCTTAAAATAAATTTCAATTTTTTGTTCAAAATAAACACATGCGAGATAATTTTCAAATGTCGTTTTACAATCATAAGCCGCATTATATTGTGTTATATATAAATATACAATATTATTTACATATATACAGTAGAAACTCTCTTTAGCGGACACCTCTCTACAAAGGACAGTTTGAACTTACAAAACTACCATTTTTACTATTAAGTAACTCTCCAGTAAGAGGACATCTCTCTCTAAAAGAAACGTTGGCTCTACAATTAGGTGTTGTCTTTTACAGAGAGGTAGTTCTACTCTATATATGTAAATAATTTCGAATATTTACATATCCTCATTCTCTCAACTTACAGCTATGTCTGTAGAAGGATTATAAAGATCCGAGAGCTTGTACTTTGCACAAATAAAAAGAAACGCATTACTATTATTTATATTATTATTTTATACCTTATAGCTGGACATTCCACTCTAGAGAAACTTGCCAACATTGTTGTATTGTGCTGTAAAAAACAATATCATACGCAATATATATATCCTGATGCGGTGAACTCCGAGACTTACCTTTCAGCAAGGGATCATATTAACAAACTACAACTGATAAGAAACCATAGATATAGTTTCCATCATTCTTGGTATCAAATAGAAACCCCCCCCCCCCCCAAAAAAAAAAAAAAAAAAACAGACCCTCCAACTAAACAGAAGGGAATCGACACAGTTGGCCAGATGGAAATCTGGTCACCTGCATCCTCTAGTCTATAAAGAGGAAGCCAAAAGCTTCCCCATGTGCACTAGGTGCAAAACCGAAGAGACCTCTCCCCAACATATACTAAATTGTATCGGAAAGGACAAGAGATCCCTGTACAGAGAACCAAGAATAGTTCCATGAACTTCTTTATGAGCACGACCTCAAAGATCTTGTCTAATTTTGACTAATAAAAGGATAAGTAAAAAAAAAAGATGACAATGAAAAAATGCTCATTATCAGATTTCTAGGTGACCGTGGTAATCAGGTATAGAATAGACTTTATATATTGCCTTTCAAAACGGAGAAAACAGGAGTAGCCGTTTCTGTAGTGTAATAAGTGGCTGTCTACTATTATTTCTTACTCTATTTTCTCTTCTAAAACGGTTTATATTACTATGCGCATTTTAAAATGTTCCAGAATTTTATCTTAACCTGTTATCTACAATTTTTATCAATGATATAACAAAATAAAAATGTAGTAGACAATAATAAAGATGTTTTATTGATGGTTTTCCTAGCGATAATATGACATATATATAA